GTTCAGCAGCGGTTCTAGTTCAGCAGTTCTGGGTTCTTGTTTAATGTCCAGGAAGAATGAGTGACCAGTACACCAGAGAATGAGTAAGTAGGAATTTATTAGAATATAGAAAAGCTCCCAGCAGTGGGAGGGGACCTGAAGAGGGTCTCCAACAATGCCTCTGCAGTCAGGAGTTTATGTAGTCTTGGGAGTGTGCTGATAGGTTGGTGGTAGCACCAATCAGAGAGAGGTATATGGTATGGGATTGAAATGCACCAATCAGAAGAAGGTTAGTAAGGACCAATCAAAAACAAGTGTTCAAAAGGGGTGGTTAACAGACCTGGAAACTGGTGTTCTCACTCCAGTCCCTGGGCCTTGCAGCAGGAGTTTTCATGGGGATCCACCCTAATCTGCCTATTTGCTTCTTTGTTTCTCCTCTCTCATATAGACTCAATAAAACACTTTTCAGCCTTAAACAAGATAAAAATTATTTCATTTGTGATAACATGACTGAAACAGAACATTACATCAAGTGAAAAATGGCAAGCACTGCATGTTCTCATTCATATGTGAGTTGGTCTTACAGAGTAGATAGTAGGAGAACAGTGATTATAAGGAGATGGAGCCGGAGAGGTGATGAATGGGAAGAAATTGGCCAACAGACACAAAGTTACAGTTAGATAAGTTCTGGTGTTCTACTGCATGATAAGGTGATTGCACTTAACAATAATGTATGTTCCAAAATAGCTAGAAGAGAAAATTCTGAATGCTCTTAACACAAAGAAATGATAAATATTTGAAGTGAGGAATATGCTAATTACTCTCTTTTGATCATTATATAAAATACAAATGTATTGAAATATCATATCGCACCCCATAAATAAGCACAGTTATTATCTGTCAACCAAAAAATAAATTAAGCCTTTAAAAATGTATAAGTTAAATCTGAATACCAGAATGAGAATAGAAAATGAAGCAGAAAAAATATGTAAAATCATGGGTAAGAACCTTTCAAAATTGATGACAGTTATCAAATCAGTTACAGGAATCTCAGAGAAGACAAAGTAAAATAAATATTTTTTTTTTTTTTGAGTTGGAGTCTCACTCTGTCGCCCAGACTGGAGTGCAGTGGCCGCTCCCGGCCACCGCAGCCTCGACCTGCTGGGCTCCGGCGATCCTTCCGCCTCAGTCTTCCGAGTAGCCGGAATTACAGGCATGCGCTGCCACGCCCAGCTGATTATTTGATTTATTGTAGAGATGAGGTCTCGTTACCCAGGCGGGTCTCGAACCCTCGGGCTCAGGCAATCCACTCACCTCAGCCTCCCAAAGGTGCAGGAATTACAGGCTGAGCCACCGAGCCCAGCAATACTTAGTATTATTTAAGAATGTTATTTACAAAGGAACTATATAAAATACTGAAATAAAACAAGAGAATACAAAAATGTAAGCCCTTGGCAATGAATAGAAAAGTATCGTTAACATAGTTGTTAATATAACTATATGATTTATCACTTTGTGAAGAATCTAAATGTAGCAATTAAAAGATGGAGATTATACCTGAAGGAACTCAAATCATTCTACAAAAAAGATACCTGCACACATATGTTTGTTGCAGCTCTATTCACAATAGCAAAAACATGAGACCAACCATGCTGCCCATCGAAGTTGGACTGGATGAAGAAAATGTGGTACATATACACAATGGAATATTATGAAACCATAAAGAAGGACAAACATATAGACTTCGCAGCAACTTGGATGGATCTAGAGTTGATCATACTCAGTGATCTATCACAGAAACAATGAACAGAGTACCATATGTTCTCATTCATAAGTGGATCCTGAACAATTATAATACTATAAGAAAGGGATTGGCAGTAGTGGGAAATTGTCAGGAGAGGGGTGGTGTGTTTGGCAGTTGAGGGAAACTGCTAGGGGAGGAAAGGGCACACTTCATCAACAAGAGTACCTGCGTAATCTGCTGTATACCTAACCCTGAATTGTACCCCACATCTTTACAATAAGAGAAAGATAGAGATTATAGGAGTAGATTTTTAAAATATTCAACTTTATGTTGTCTATTTATACAAATATTTTTAATACAAAGTTTCAGATAAGTTTAAATGAAGGAAATGAAGAAAATCATACCATACTAAAATAATTTTTTAAGAAACAGTCTTCAGAACAAGAAATTATTAGCAATGAAGAGAGGTCTAACATAATGATAAAAGTGTTAATTCTCCAAGAAGACATAACAATCCTAAATGCGTCTACATCTAACTATAGGGTTAAAATACATTTTAAAAAATTAAGAGAAGTTGAAGAAATAAACAAACCCACTATTATAGTGGGGTTGTCTCAAAATACTCCCATTAATAAGGCTGAAGATGACATAAGCACCATTATGGATTCGCATTACCTATGTTATCTTTATGGAATCCTCCATTGAATAAGAGAAAAACATACATTTTAATCAAACTCACATGAAACATCCATCAAATTAGACTACACTGTGGGCCATAAATTACATCTAAAATTTAAAATAATAGAAACCTTGAAGAGTATGTTCTTAAACCACAGCATATTAAACTGCAAATCAATAAAAGAAGCACAGATGAAAAACTCACATACATCTGGAGATTAATCAACTCAAATCTAAGTAACATATGGACCAAAAAAAAAAAGAAGTAGAATAATTTTAAGCTATTTTGAACTAAATGTAAATAAAAATAAAATTAATTAAAGTTTGTGTGATGCAACAAAATCAATACTTAGAAGGCAATATGTTGTATTAACTACATAATTATAATGTAGAAACCCACAAAACTAAATAATCTGAATTAGGACACTAGAAGAAAAATAGCAATTTAAAACACAAACAAGAAGTAAAGAGATGATAAGGATTAAAGTAGAAATCAATGAAATTAACAATAGAAAAATAATTTTAAAAATCATCACAACCAAAGGTGACTTATTGAAATAATCAATAATAACGATCAACATGTACAGTAAAATACAGTTTTATAATCTATGGAGCCACCATTATAACTGTGGTCCAACATTGACTGAAACACCTTTATATGATTCATGACTAAGTTCAAACAGCTAAAGCAAAACATAAAGAACTAAAATAAATCATACAAATTATGCATAAACAAAACTAGTACTTCAGAAAAGCACTGTTTTGTGAGTAACATAAAAATACTATAGAACTAGAAAAAATTACTTAAAAAAATAAACAAATTCTAGAACTGAAAATGTAATCAAAATTTTTAAACATCAAGAACAGATTTGACAAGCAAATGATAAAATTAGAGAGCTAAAATATAGGACACTTGAAATTAACATGTGTGAGCAAATATAAAAGCTAGTATTATTGTATTTTTAAATTGCAACTTTACCTATTATTTCTTAAATGATTTCAAAGAGAAGCATAAAAATAGTTATGAGCACGACATGTATAAAAATGTAATTGATAAGAGAAATTACATAAAGGAAATAAAGTTATATAGGAGCAGAGTATTTCAAACCACATTGTGATAAATTTTAAGTTGTTAAATGTAATACCTGTCATAACCAAAATCTCTACAAAATGTCCATGCACAGAAGGATAAGAGAAGGAAATTAAATAGTTCTCTATAAAACAATAAGCTGAAAACAAAAAAGGCAATAATAAAGGTAATTAAAGGACCCCCCGAAAAACCCAGAATTTATTTATAAAAAATTGTGTATTTATTCTTACATGTTTAAACCAGCGGGGCTCGGTTGTAATCCCGTGCTCAGTCTGTAATCCCACGCTTTGGGAGGCTGAGGTGAGTGTAATACCTGAGCCCGCAGGTTTGAGACCTGCCTGGGGCAACTTGGCGAGACTTCATCTCTACAATAAATCAAAAAATTAGCCGGGTGTGGTAGCACACGCCTGTAGTTCCAGCTACTTGGAAGGCTGAGGTGGAAGGATCGCTGGAGCCCAGCAGATCAAGCCTGCGGTGGCCAGGAGTGTGTCACTGCACTCCAGTCTGGGTTACAGAGTAAGACTCCAACTCAAAATAAATAAATAAATAAATAATAAACCAGTCACCTTCAAAATACACTCTGTTTTACCTAACACCTCAATGGACACACTTTTTTCCACTACTCAAAACAGTTTTTGAACTCATCAATGTCGATGCATTTTAGTGCTTTTGCAAGTTTTTGTTTTACCTCTTCCACATTGACAAAACATTTTCCTTTGAGGACTTTTTTCATCCAGAGGCAAAAAAAGGCACTTAGGGCGAGATGAGCTGAATAGATAGGGTGGGGCACTAGGGCCATGCCATTTTTGGTCAAAAACAGCTGAACACTCGCAGAGGATGGGCAGGTACATTCTTAAATCACCCATTAGGAAATGAGGACAAACATGTTGAAAGAATCTTAAAAAAAAAAAATCATTGATGCCTAATGCAGCCTTTCACAAAGCTAGGTGGTACACAAATACCGATGGGTTCCTAGAACACTTTCTTAGCAGAGGAAGCCTGTATTAGAAGACAACTGCCCTTGTAGTAAACATAATTTCAGGTTTTGGGGGTTACTCCCTCATACATAAACGTGTGTGTGTGTGCGAGTATGTGTGTGTCCACAGAAAAATTTAAAAAATTTTAAAATTAAAGTTATACAAAGCATCCCAATGGTATGAAACTACAGGTAAGTCAATCTATAATATTCTTTTATTCAAAATATTTAAGTTTTCATTTTTGGTATATTTTGACTTTGTCCTAATATCTCAAATTTAGACAGTGTTTCTGGTTTAACTTTTAGATAATAAATGCTTCAAAACTTAGAAAGCCACATGTATCTCATTAATGTCTGACAAATGTCAAATTCATTTACATTCAGAGAGTTAATGATGTGCTTCTAGATGTTTCCTTGTAAGTTACTATTTTCTACCTAACCTTAGAACACTTAGACAGTTTTATTACTTTGTGAATTGTATTTTACCACAATAACTCTATAAATGCAATCCACTTAGAGTAATAACCAGCCCATATTTTTAGGTATTTTATTAGGATAAAGCTAAATAGCTGGAAAAAATACAACAGCTTAAATAAAAGTGAAGTTTATCTAATGCACATGTAAACTTAAAAGCTCAAAGAGCTTTGCTCTGCAATTTAAAAAAATAATCCATTTTTTTTTTTCCATCTTAGTCCTTCATCGATTCCATGGATGTTGTCTTCATCAGCATGATTGGTCGCACCTCCACCACATCAGCATATCAGTCTGCAGGAAAGGAAAAGGGAGGAAGACTCGGGTAAAAAAAAATATCTCCTTTTACAAAATGTACTCTTCATTTCTGTTTATATTTATTGGTGATAACTCAAGTATAGTTCCATACATGGCAATATGTGAGAGGATGAGAAAAAGGGTTCACAGCCTTGCAGCCATGTGTCCAGACAAAAGTGAAAAATAGATTTGGGCGGACAACTAGCACACTATTAGAGTTCTTCTTACAGCCACCAATTATCAGTGCACACTCTTTTAAAAAAGAATTTAAACTCATTCTCCCCTCTAAGGACAAAAGCCAAGGTTTTATCCTAGTGCTGCCTTCATACCAAAGCTCAGAATCTGTAGCGAGTGGACATCCTCCTCTATTAGGTCCAGTCATGGGTCCTAAAACCTGGCAACATAGAAACTAATAGAAAAAGTATCTGTCCCTCATATCCACCCTCAAAGTACACAGGTATATTCAGGTATGACCCAACATTTAAGGAGGCGAAAGCAATATTACAAATGTATACTTACTTGCTAGATATTTACACTAGGGTTTGAATGTTTACTGTCAACCAAAATTCACAGATTTAAACCTAATGCCCAAAGTGATGGTATTCAGAGGTAGGGTTTTTGGGAGGTGACCAGAAAATGAGGAGGGAGCCCTCTTGAATAGCATGAGTGTTCTTACAAAGTGACTGCAAAGAGCTGGCTAGCCACTTCCATCATGTGAGGAGAGAGTGAGATGGTGCAACTATGAGAAACCAGGCCCTCACTAAACACCTTCATTGTGAAGTCCCTGCCTCCGGAGCTGTGAGATATAAATTTCCAATGTTTATGAGCTAGTTTATTTTATTTTGTGATGTAAGACAAAGTAAATATTTTTAAATTATAGATCAGTCAAATGGACATTAAATAAAATACTATTTATCCACTTTGACAAATTCAGAATTCTTAGATTTTGTCTGTCTGTTTTTCCATCATAGATTATGACAAAACTGGGAGAGATGCCCAGCTCCTTATCCTTAGCTATGTCCCTTTTTACTATTCACTTTCCTTTCTTATGGTCAATTGTGTTACATTTCTAAATGTAGTTTAGACATTTCAGGCTGCAAGTCTAAACTACATTTACACCTTCCTGGAACTGCTGCCCCTTAACCAGGTCTTGGGTTTAAACTAAGTCCAACAGTGGAACCAGCAACACTCAGGAAAATGACTTGAGTAGAAGGTCTCTGAAAAACCTGGAAACCAATTAGGGGGTATTTGAGCAGGAAACTCTGGACAAACAGCTATCGAGACCATGGTCTAGAAGTGGAAGATGGACTCCAATGAGACATCACTGTTTCCTGGCCTGTGCAACTCTCACCTTGAGGATCAGTATAAGACTGAGGACTGAGGTAAGAAAAAAATTATGTTTGTCAAAAATAGTTTCCAAAGCAGCAGCTCCTTGTGCCTAGGTCTAAAGTTCCTTATGGGAAAAACTGTGATCGTGGAACAGGAACAAAATTACTATAGTTAGAAATAATTCATTCAGAAAATAGAATGAGAAATAGGTCAATCAGCCCACAATAATGTCCGTGATATATTTCTGTGAAATGATAAAGGGTGACTTTGTTTAAAGTTGAATCAATTAATTGGTCAGATTCAGATTCTAGTCTGTGAAAAAAACCATCTGGTTCTCTGACTTTCTTGACACACGGTTTGGCCTCCTGGGAGGCACATCATTGTCTTCCTTAACCTATGTGGCCACACGTGAGGAAGGAATCTATGTCCTTCTTGGAGATTTCACAGTTTCACAAGCTACTTTATGAAGGTACAGTTCTGGGAGCTTGAGGACTCTTTTGGCGATAAGCAAACAAATATTTTAAGTCAATCTTGTGATTTCTTGGTAATTATTTTCTCAAAAATGTATTAGACTATTGTCTATTTGATTCCCTTCAGTACCAGTATGGAAGAAACAAATCACAGTGTTCTCTTATGGGCACGATTCTTAAGCCTGCCTTATAATTTTCTTCCACTTGCCCGTTTCTTCTTAACTTATTTTAGAGGTGGTAACTTGAAGGTTTCCAACACAATACAGGCAAGTGAAAGACAGCACTCTTCATCTAATTGGCTACAAATATAAATCCTTTTGGGGGCTGAGAAATCTTTATGTATGTGTATATATATATATATATATATGTATATATATGTGTGTGTGCGTGTCTGTGTATATATATATATAATTTTAAAGTTGTGAGGTACAGTTAAGGGTTAGGTATACAAATATTCATTGTGCAGATACCCTTGCTGATGAGGAGTGCCTCCTTTCCCCAGACAGATATTGACTGCCATTAATCCCACCTCCCTTTCCTTCCCTGCCCCCTCCCCATAGTTTCCCACCACTGTCAATCCTTTTCTTATAGTATGATGGTAGTTGTTCAAGGTCCACTTATGTGTGAGAACATGTGATTCTCAGATCTTTGTTTCTGTGAGAGATCACTCAGTATTATAAATTCTAATTCCATTCAGATTGCTGTGAAATTCATGATTTTGTCCTTTTTTATGACTGTGTAATATTCCATTGTGTATATGTACCACATTTTTTAAATCCAGTCCTCTTTTGATGGACAGCATGGTTAGTTCCATGATCTTGCTATTGTGAACAATGCTGCGATAAACGTACATGTGCAGGTATCTTTTTTATATAGTGATTTGAGTTCTTCAGAGTATATTCCCAGTAGGAGAATTATGGGGTCATATGGAAGGTCAATTTTTAGAGCTTTTAGGAATTGCCACACCGATTTCCCTGAAAGCTGTACTAGTTTACAATCCTACCAACAGTGTAGAAGTGTTCCCTTTTCACCACATCCTCTCTGGCATCTGTTATTTTTGGAGTTATTGATAATGGACATTCTGACTGGAGTTAGGCAGTATCTCAATGTAGTTTTAATTTGCATCTCCTTGAGGTCTAGAGAGGTTGAACATTTCTTCATGTATCTATTGGCTGCTTGTATGCCTTCTTTTAAGAAGTGTCTGTTCATATCTTTTGCTCACTTTGTAACGGGGTTGTTTGTTTTTTCTTTTCAACACATTTGAATTCCTTGTAGATCCTTGCTATTAGGCCTTTGTCAGACATGGAGTTGGCAAATACTTTTTCCCAGTCTGTGGGCTGTCTCCCTGCTCTCTTGATGGTTTCTTTGGCTTTGAAGAAGCTTGTTAGTTTAATGAGGTCCCACTTGTCTATCTTATCTCTTATGGCCCGTGTGTTTTGGGTTTTGTTCAGGAATTGGATGCCAGTTCCAATTTCCATAAGGGTGTGTCCTGCATTTTCTAAAATTCTTATGGTTTGAGGTTTTACATTTAGGTCTCTGATCCCTTTAGAGCTAATTTTTGTGTATGGGGATAGATAGGGGTCTTGTTTGAATCTTCTGCATGTGATCAGCCGGTTTTCCCACCACCATTTACTAAATAGGCTCTCCTCTCCCCAGTGGTGGGTGATGGAAGCTTTGTCGAAGATGAGTTGGTTGAGAAATTGAGTCTTTGCTTCTGGAATCTCAATTCCATTCCATTGGTCTATATGTCTGTTCTTGTATCAATACTAGGCTGTTTTGATTATTGTAGCTTTATAGTAAAGTTTAAAGTCTGGTAGTGTGATACTTCCTGCTTTGTTTTTTGCTGAGGATTGTTCTGGCTATTCTTGGTCATTTGTGTTTCCATATGAATTCCTGTATTGTTTTTTCTAGATCTGAGAACAATGTTGCTGGTAATTTCATGGGTATTGCATTAAATCTGTAGATTGCCTTAGGTAAGATGGACATCTTCACAATGTTGATTCTTCCAAATCATGAGCATGGAATATTTTTCCACTTGTTTGTGTCATCTTTGATTTCTTTGAACAGTGTTTTATAGTTTTCATTGTAAAGGTCTTTCACGTTTCTGGTTAGGAAGATGCCAAGGTATTTCTTTGTGTGTGTGTGTGTGGCTATTGTGAATGGGATTGTGCTTTGTATTTAATTTTATGTTTGTTTATTACTGGTGTAAAGAAATGCAATTGTCTTTTGAACTTTTATTTTATACCCTGAGACGTTGCCAAAGTCCTTTATCAATACAAGGAGGTTTTCAATAGATTCTCTTGGGTTTTCAAGGTATATAATCATGTCGTCTGCAAAGAGAGATAACTTGACTTCCTCTTTTCCTATTTGGACACCTGATCACCTTCTCTTTTCTGATTGCTTTAGCCAGGACATCCAATACTATATTGAACAGGAGGGGAGAGAGTGGGCATCCTTGTCTTGTTCCAGTTTTCAGGGGAAATGGTTCCGATTTTTGTCTGTTTAGGAGTATGCTGGTTGTGGGTTTCTCGTACATGGCTTTTACTATTTTGAGGTATGTTCCACATATGCTGAGATGTTCGAGAGTTTTTATCAAGAAGGGGTGCTGGATTTTATCAAAAGCTTTCCTGTATCTAATAATATAATCACATGGTTTTTGCTTTGACATCTATTGATGTATTTAATTACATTTATGGGCTTACAATATTGAACCAGCCTTGTGTCCCAGGGATGAAGCCTACTTAGTCATGATGGATGATTTTTGAGATGTGTTGTTGAATCTGATTTGCTAGGATCTTGTTGAGAATTTTAGCATCTATGTTCATCAAAGATATTGGCCTGTAGTTCTCTTTCTTTGTTGAGTCTTTACCTGGTTTGGGTATCAATGTGATGTTAGCTTCATAAAATGATTTGGTGAGAGTACCATCTTACTCAATTGACTGGAATACTTTCAGTAGGATTGGTATCAGTTATTCCTTAAATGTCTTATAGAATTCTGCTGGAAAGCCATCTGGTCCAGGGCTTCTTTTGTAGGTAGTTTTCTTATTATATAGCCAATTTCCTTGATTGTTATTGGTCTATTTAGTTTCTCAATTTTTTCATGTTTCAACTTAGGCAGGTTGTGTGATGACAGAAAGTCCTCCATTTCCTTAAGGTTTTCAAGTTTGTTTCCATACAAGTGTACATAGTAGTCTCTAA